AATACTGTGAAGCTGCCTGGAAATGAAAACAACATGGCATGCCTATGATATGTAGGGTGATGGCAACAGCTTGTGTGATCTAAAATCAAAACACACATGCCTGATATAGAGTCAGTGAAGAGAGGTCTGGTGTGGTGCAGCCTTGGTTACAATGGAGACCCCAGGATATTGGACATGCCAGGACCATGGGCTATCTGCCAAGGATGGTAGAAGAAGTAGAGATGAGCCGAGCCTCTGAGTGAAGGTGTGTATGCCACAGCAGGAAGAGCTGGAGAACTGAGGCATCCGCCCTTTGGAGCCCAGAAGATCTAAGTGAGTTCCAGATACTGCAATTTGGATTTACACTGCTGAATTGTGTTTTTTTTTTTTTATTAAATCTGATAGTTTTCATTCCTTGGGTTTTTTTCATTTTGGAATAAGAAAGTATGTCATTTTTTGTTTTGTTTTGTTTTTAATTTTAAGGAGCCCACATCTGAGAGACTTTGAATTCTTAAAGAGATTTTAGGCTTTTTAAAAATGTTGAATTTTTTAAAGACCACAGGTCTTTAAAAGTTGTACTGTATTTTATATTATGATATCAACATGAGATCTTAGGGTATAGTTTAACAGGGGTGTGTATGTGTCAAGCTGACAAATGGTGGCTTGTGTTGCTTAGTTTTATTGTCTAATTTACAAAACCTGGGGAGAAGAACCTCAACTGAAGAACTGCCTAGATTAGATTGTCTATGGTTGTGTCTGTGAGAGAGTGTCTTGATTGGTGATTAATGCCACTGTAGGTGGCACCATCTCTAAGCAGATGATCCTGGGCTGTGTAACAAAGGGACCTTGGGGGAAAACTAGAAAGCAAGCTGTAAACACCATTCTTCTATGCCTTGGCTTCTTTTGATGATGAACTGTGCCTATAGAAATTATAAGCTGAAATAAACTCCCTTTTGGTCATGGTGTTTATCACAGCAACAGAAAGCAAACTAGAACTATGCATATGGCTATTATAAAACAATAGCAGAAAATAACAAAACAAATCATGAAGATATGGGGAAACTGGAACTCTTGTACCTTGCTGGTGGGATAGTCCCTGTGGGAGCACTTCAGAAATCTAAACCTAGAATTACCACGTGATTTCCAGGTGTACTCCCAAAAGATCTAAAACACACTCTACTTGTGTGCCATTATTCTTCAAAGCTGACTGTAGCCAAAATGTAGAAACAGACCAAATAGCCACCAACAGATGGGTGGCTAAACAGAATGGGGTATATCCATTTGGTAGACTATTATTCAGTCATGAAAATGAAGTAATATACATGATGCAATGTGGACAAGCCTTGAAAATATGCTGGGTGACACAAACCAGACACAAAAGGACAAACATTGTGTGTTTCCACTTATATGGAGGTCTGTCAGATGTTCTGAAGCAGGTCGAAAAGGAATGAGGAAGTGTTACTTTAAAAGTGGTTCTGTTTGGGAAGATGAAAATGTTCTGGGAAAAGTCAAAAATAATAGTTGCACACTGTTGGGGTTATAATTATTGACAATGACTGTGCACTCCAAATGATAAAAAAAACGACAATTAAAAACTTTATTTTAACATAATAAACTTTAAAAAATCTTTGTTTGCATTTACTTTATGTTGAGTTTTCCATGCAGTAGGGTTTTTTTCCCCTTCAGTTTTTCAGGAATATATTTGTCTTCTGTGCAACCTCCTCTCATGGCTTAGGAACATTTGCCCTTTTTCAGTAGGATCATATCATGTGGCAGGGAGAGCACATGTATGGGTCCATCCTGCCACAAGCCTGGAAGTCCTTCCATGCATTGTAGGTGCATTGCTTACCTACATGATGACTTCAGACTCTACAGCTAAACCTTTAAGTGCCGCATAATCCTCTGCAGTCTTAAGTGTGCGAAGCAAAACTTCACCATGCTTTTTGGACCAGCAGCCCTGTGTCCAGCCCCACACCTCCCACTCCACCATTATACCACCTGAAATGACAAACATTGCCTTCTTCTTCTTCTTCTTCTTCTTCTTCTTCTTCTGTTTTTCAAGACAGGGTTTCTCTGTGTAGCAGGCCTAGATATCTTGGAACTAGCTCTGTAGACGAGGCTGAACTCAGAGAGCCACCTGCCTCTGCCTCTGGAGTGCTGGGATTAAAGGCAATGTGCCACCACACTGGGCTACACAGCTTTTTTAAAGTCACATCTTGCAGATTCTTGGTGACTTTTCAGAGACCCATGCCCTCAATGGTCTGGGCAGTTTCATGGGTGTTCTTAAAGTAAACACAAACATTTGAACCTCTTGGCTTGCATGATTTTGTAGGAGTTTTGGGTCAAGGGAGTAGTGAACCATCTTTCCAGGGCAGCTCAAGCCACTTCATCATATACACTTTACTGTAAATTATCCACAAGGTGTTTAGAATGCCCATGGATGGACAAACATAGAAGAGTCAACTCCTACATGTCATAATGGGAAGCAACCATGGCTGTTGGAATGTCTTCTCTGTCCAGCCTTTGCCTCCCAGTCCTCTCTGTTGGAGGTCAGGATCCTAGTTCTTCACTTCTCCAGGACTGGCTACCTTCTTACTGCCTGTTGGGTGTTAGCAGCCTTTATAATGTGATTCATGGAGTCACTCAAGAGAAAAGACCCTCCCTCCCATATTGCCTTTGCTGCCCCTCCCTGGAAGGCCAAATGTCCTGTGTATTCTCCTCCCCTCCCCGGTAAGAGCTTTCCAGGTCCAGGCTAAGCTCTACATCTGTCTTCATGAACTGTCTTTTCTTCAACTTCTTTCCTCTGCCCCAGCCTGCCCTCCAGGTTGTGGGTGGCCTCCTCTGTGAGCCCTTCCCCATCAGTATCCACTTCCCTCCTCCTGCTTCCAGCACATACACACCCAGGGAAGGTTTGGATTCCAATCAGGTGCCCGGGCCATGCTCTCCCTCCTTCCCTTGCACCCTTAGGAAGAACTGAACTTGGGGACCCTTCCAGTGCTTGGCTGTTGTGGGGCTCTACACTAGTTTTCTTTCCTGCCCTCATGCTTGTGTCTACCTGGTACTAAAAGGTTTGTGAAGGCAGAGGCAGGCCTGTCATTTAGTCACAATTCTGGCCAATGCTGAGAGCTCAGCACAGATGCCTTTGATGGTATGATGGCCACAAATTTTAAAGGGGAGAGTGATCTCTGGTTAGACCCAGACTAGAACAATCTCAGACATAAAAAAACAAAGTTAACTTTAAAAAAAGCAACAATAACAAAAATGGCCTTTTTATGTTACTTTAGAAAAAATACGTTAACAGTGTCCCAAGCCCTCAACAGAATAGTGTGTATGTGAGGAGAGACTACTTCGTCTTTATAATTGTCAGTGCCACCCATAGGAGCTGTCCAGCTCAGATGGAACACCTTTAAGCTGAAGTCTTGAAGGTCAGCCCTGGACACACATTCATCAAAGGCATTTCCGAATGCTTAAGTCTTTTAGGATCAGAGTGATTACAGGCTTTGTTAGGGTCATGATCCTTTTCACAACCATCTCAAACAAACTAAACATATCTTCTCATACTGTACTTAACACAAATACGTGAGTCACACTTGGGGAGGAGATTTTCATCCAAGAGCTGTGTGTAGAAATGTATTTATTTGAAATTGATTATATTTGAACAACCTGGGAGTGGTTTAATTCTCTATTGTTTTGATGTCTGTAGTCCTGTGGACAGAAGCCAGAGGTTTGCTGGGATGGCAAGTATACTTCCATCACTGTGCCTACCCCAGTCCTGCCTTTCTCAATCCACTTCTGTGGTTTCTCCCCTGTACCAAGGGTATAACCCGGGGCTCTGTGACTTGGTGGTCTCTCAGGTGGGGTGAACACTCACAGAGTGGTACATTGGGGTGTGCTGTAATCTCCAAATGCTTATCAATCCTCTTGGGTCTTGGGTTGATGGCATAGTTTCCATGAATGCCTCTTCAATGCCCTTTGGAAATGTGAAATGCATTTTTGTTTGTACAAAAGAAAAGTGAGTCTTCTATTTTCTTCACATCTGTAAGACTGAAATGGACTTAAACAACTTATTTAAAGTGAGAACGTCTAGACTATCTGGTCATAACTCAATGTCCTATTTAACAAGAGCCAAGGGCAGATAGAATCTAGTAGCAGCTTTATCGACAGATATACTGGGTAAACTATCGCCCATACCCAAGTACTCTCACACAACTCACTGAACCCCAGGTGCAAAGCTATAGAAGCGATTGGGACCACTTGTGAGGACCTCGGGGAGGCAGGTCACAGCCCAGCTGTGCACCTGAAACCCTCTGTTCTGCAGCTCCTGTCTGCTGGGACCCTGCTAAAGGAAACAAGTGCTCCTGGGGATGGGACTGTCAATCCTTCTGTATTCCTCTTTCCTATGCTTTCTCCCTGCCTGGAAGGAGTGGGTGAAGGTAATCTATACCTACTAGTTCTGCTCAGGTGAGCATGGAAACAACCTTCTGTGGCCATGAGGCTCAACACAGACAGCTGTGAAGCAGTCCTGTTCCCACCATCTATGGTAGAGGCTTTCAGTTTTGGGACTGTTACCACTAGCTTGCTGGAGTCACTGTCATGGGTTATTGCATCTGCCTCTCAGGGCAGCATGATGGGCACAATTATGAGCAGTGTTGTGAACATTTAGAATCTTTTTAGTTTGCGACTTTTTGATCCTCAAATTATAGAAATGTGACACTGGGTGTTGTTCTGTCCAGACCAAACTGAAAGCCCCATTCCAAGAGCCACCAAGCCTGCCCTTGGACACCCTCTGAGCAGGCCTCAGTCGCCATGATCCCTGCTCCATTGGGAGTTCTCCAGCCACAGACTACATTTCATCTGGTCAGATTTGACGCTGCCAGTATTTTTTTCCCTAGAAAAACTGATCCTGTCTGACTTCTGGGCTCCAAAGATCCCAGTGCCATTTCCATTTCCTTTTAAGAACATTTAACCAGGAAACATGATGGTGGGTTGCCATAGTTCCATCCACAGACTTGTGAAGCCTGATGGAGAAGAACAAGCCAGGGCCATCGTCGCCCATTGATGAGCACCTGTCTGGCCTTCCAGAGGTGGGTTCCATCCCCGGCACTGCAATGAACACAAGCAATCAAGCAAATACAACAAACCAGAAAGCTACATAACATAGAAGAGGGCAGGGGAAGCTTCCAGAGGAAGCAGCTAAAGAGAAGGCAACCCTGAACCCTGAAAGGTTTGTTTGGAGGGTCTGTGTGTTGGCTCATCAATAGAACTGCTTGTGAGGGAAAACTCTTGGCTTTCCTGGCCATCTCCTCAGCTGGTAGAGGAAAAAGAAATGAAAAAGAAAAGAAACGAGGACTGCTTGTTTGTCCTTCATCCCAATACTTGGGGAGCAGAGGCAGGTAGAGCTCTGTGATTTCCAGGCCAGCCTGGTATATGTAGTGAGTTCCAGACCTGTCAGGGTGAAAAGGATCCAGTCTCAAACAAAGAAACAGCAACAAAGGAGAAAGAAGAAGCTAAAGCATTTGTTTGTAGGTTGCTGGGATCTTCAGAGGCTGACTTGCATTGGTTTGTTTACTTCTAGGGACAGGTGGCTCAGGGAGAAGAGCATTCTCTGAGGAAGTCATTCACAGTAGAGAAATTCTCATAGCGTCTAGGGTGCAGCCAAGGGTGCTGTGTTTGTATTCTATTCTCTGTAGGATTGGTCCCAATAGTGCCCAAAGAGGATTTCTTAAACTATCATTCATTAATTTTGTGTGTACGGTGTGGAGGGTGTATTGTTCAGGTATAGAATTCAGAGGATAATTTTGTGATGTCATTCCTCTCCTGTCACCTTTATGTTGCTTCTGGGCATGGAATCTCACCAGCCTAGGAGGGGTTGTTCCCCTAGGCCAGAAGGACTGTGAAGCACGGTGTTGCTTTCTCACTTAATAGTTCCTCTTAAAAAGAAAAAGAAAAAGAAAAACCATATGGTTTACTTCTATCATAGACCTAGAAATTTGATGCCATCCTTTCTGAAATTATGACCCAACTCTCAAATATAGTCACAGACGGATGACATTTTGTAAAATACAACCTATGGAAAGCCCCAGTCAATCCTGGGTGAGGTTCTTTTTCTCTGACTTGACAGAGTGGGCTCATGCATTGTTCTATGCCAGTGTCAATTTTCACTGGAGCAAGAAAGCAATTTTAGTGCACATCTTGCCTTTCCCTCCAGCTAGGCTGGTTAACAGCCTGAAATATAGATATCAAGACACTCTCCTTCAGGATAGACAAACAGGTCCTCCTGGCTCTGGGGCAGAGACATGTTTCTTCAGCTTATAGCTTTACTGCAGAGGAACATATCTACAGAGACTTATAAAAAATTTTATTGCACTTCTTTATTTAGTGCATTGTGTATGTGTGTGTGTGTGTGTGTGTTATATGTGGTGTGTGTGTGGTGTACATGTATGTGTGTGTGTGTAGTGTGCGTATGTGTATGTGTTTGTGTGAGATGTGTGTGTGGTGTGTGTATGTTTTTGTGGGGGGTGCGTGTGTATGGTATGTAGGGGTGTGCATGTATGTGTGTGTGTGGTGTGTGTGTACATGTTTGTGGTGTGTGCATTCGTGTGTGTGTGTGTGTGTGTGTGTGTGTGTGTGTAGTGTGTGTATGTGTTTGTGTGAGATGTGTGTGTGGTGTGTGTATGTGTTTGTGGGGGGGTGCGTGTGTATGGTATGTGGGGGTGTGCATGTATGTGTGTGTGTGTGGTGTGTGTGTACATGTTTGTGGTGTGTGCATTCGTGTGTGTGGGGGTGTGTGTATGTGTGTGTGTGTGTGTGTGTGTGTGTGTGTGTGTGTGTAGGTTAGAGTACAACTTGTAGGAGTTGGTTCGCATTCCACAACAATGGGTCCTGGTAACTAAACTCAAGTTGTCAGACTTGGCAGCAAGCACCTTTGCACCTGTGCCCCAGGAACGTAATTATAATAGTTTATTATCCCTTCCCAAATCTTTTACAGACTGTGGAGAGATGTCTTCTAGAAGGTTCTGTCAGTCATTAAGCCAAACACCTGTCTGCTCTGAAACAAAAGCACACAAACCAAAAAAGCCATGGGAATGTGACAGGAAAACCTAAGCACAACACACTGCCTTGCCATGGGAGGAGATGTTTGCTGTACAGACTCCAATATTTCTTGTGGAGTCAGGGGAAGTATTTTTTTAAGATTAGTAGATGTTTATTGTATGGACCAAATAGAATTTTCTAGCTTATTAATTAAATTGTAGTAGGCCCTTCTCAATGCACTGCCTTGTGGTTTGGGTTTTTTTTTTTTTTTGAATTCTAAGAATGACAGGTCAGTTTGTATTCCCCCAAACACCCCCAAAACTACTCACTGCAAACAGACTTGGTCCCTAAGGCAATGATTCTGATATGTTTTGGTCTCTGAAATGGGTCACAGTTCTTGAGTTCTAGAAGGATGTGCCCAACCAAAACAAACAAACAAGCTAAGGTAACACTGGCTATCTGAGGAAGGGGGAGGGTAACTGAGCACAAGTGGGAGGAGACTTCTACCCAAGCCTTTGGCTGTGTCTTTTCACTATATCACACACAGGACCGAATCCCTCCTCAAGAAACAAACATTTCAAATGGAGTTTGGCTTGATCTGCTTCATGAAGACAGCTGTGCTTCTAAAGTTCTGGCTCTAGGGTCATCCCGAAACAGTTACTTCCCAAGGCCGGCCATTGTACCTTTCCAGGAAAGAGGAAGGCATAGCTGTGTCAGGCTGTTCACATCAGCATCCAGTTGCCTACCATTCCATGGGGGCTTCCTCAAGTCGCATCACAAGCAATAACAATAGCTGTCCCTTGGTTACTAGGAGTGCTTGAGTTCTGCCCTAGTTCTGGACAGCTGGAGGGAAGAGTAGGGGTACTGCTGGGAGGAGTCCTGAGTGAGTGGGTGGGCTCTTGCCCACTGCTGGTGGGCAGGGCAGCCGTTGTGGTAAGATGGTGAGGTCAGAAATAGAGTCCTGTAGGCAAAGATAGGGGCCAGGGCAGGTAGAGCAGGGACCCAGGTGTTTAGCTGGAGGATACCTGTACACACACACACACACACACACACACACACAAATAAAAATAAAAATAAAGCTATCAGGGTTAGCTGGATGAAGTAGTGCATACCTTTAATCCTAATACTCAGGAGGAAGAGGCAGGCATATCTCTGTGAATTAAAGGCCAGCCTAGAGCAAGTTCCAGGCTAGCCTGGTCTACATAGGAAAAATGTGTTCTAGTATTAAATTGTAGTGATGTCTATATGCCTGTGTGGATATACTAAAATCATGGCTGGTAATACTTAAAAGGTTATGTTTATGATGTATGAATTATGTAACACCTCATTTTGGAGAGAAAATGTGTGTGAACAAAGAGCTATACAAATGCTTGAGGGGAGAAATGGGTGTGAAGGAATGACTTGTAAAAGATCTGTTTTGGAGTTGTGTCAGGTAGTGGCTTTTGAATGGTGATTTTTGTGTGTGTGGGGGGGGGGGGGGAGGGGAGCTAAAGCCTGAGCTAGCCCTAGACCTGGCTGCAGAGGGAATCAGTTACATCCTGGATGTGGAGTCAAGTCTCCACATACTCAGCTGGATGATGCTCGATGGTCCAAGCACAGGCTGGACCATCACAGAGCTTCCGATCAGTTGCTTCAGCTCTTTTGTCAAATTCCCCTAAAAAGTACCTTTCTGTGAGTGTCACCCAGGCAAAGTATGTGCTTATCTGACAGATACCATTGCTGCTTTCTTAATGGGTCAGAAGCAATTGATAACATTTGTTGTCTGAAGTGCAGCCCGCCCACACATCTGTCTTTGTCATCAGTGTACACGAGTGCTCACATCCTTCGGCTCAGACAAATCCTGTCAGATGAAGTCTGTATCAGCCACATCCAGTTTTGCTATTTGCCTCTGCTTGTCTCTCTTATGAGGGCCACTGAGACCAGAAAAGAACCACAGCTCCATCCAGGGAAATGGAACCCTGTAAGAGAAGAGAGAACAAGAGGACCCAAGGGAAAACTGTGGAGATCTCTTCTCAGGTGTTCCTGCTAAACTCTGCTGGACCTGCTGAGGTGTCCCCAAGGCCCCACCACCAGTCAAATGTATGGGAAACACCCGGTTCATGAAACCTTGCATCTAGGAGAGTGATAGCTAGGTCCAAGAAGCAAGTCCATGTACATTCATCCTCTCACCAGTCCTTCCAGTAACTTCCTCATGGACCCCAGTCACTGTGTTCCCTGATCCCATTTGACTTCTCTCATAATTGAGACATTCAGATAAGTGGCTTCTTCCAAGTCCTATTACCTCCATATTCTTCTTCTAAGTTGGCTCATAGGCAGATAAACTCTCTTTGATTTTGGTCTTGATCAAGGATAACTGTCTTTGTTCTTATCTCCCATTCCTCTTTTAAAAAATTCTTTGATCTACAAAGATGACACCAACTAGCAATCTAAGTAACAGAGGAGAGGCTACCTTAAATGAGATTGATGACTGATTTATATGCCATACTATAGCCTTCATCCATCAGCTGGTGGAAGTAGAAGCAGACACCCACAACTAATCACTGAACTGAACTGGAATCCAGTTGCAGAGAAGGATGAGTGATGAGCAAAGGGTTACAGACCAGGCTGGTGAAACTCACAGAAACAGCTGACCTGAACAACGGGGAGCTCTTGGTCCCCAGACTGATAGCTGGGAAACCAGTATGGGACTGATCCAGACCCCAGGAACGTGGGTTTCAGTGAGGAGACCTCGGAAATCTACAGGACCTTCTGTAGTAGATCAGTACCTATCCCTAGCATAGGTATGGACTTTGGGGGCCCATTCCACATAGAGGGATACTCCCTGAGCCAAGATACATGGGGGTGGGCCTAGGCCCTATCCCAAAGGATATGATAGACTCTGATGACCCCCTATGGAAGGCCTCACCCTCCCTGGGGAGCAGAAAGGATATGTGATAGATAGGATTTTAGTGAGGGGGGGTTGGGAGGGGAGGAGGGGAAGGAGAGGGAACTGGGATTGACATGTAAAACAATCTTGTTTCCAAATCCAATAAAAAAAATCTGCAAAAATCCT